CCATGGACGTAAGAATATATGGACGGAGTGTAAGTTAGCGGGGGCCGAGCCAGAGCAGTGAGGGGAAAAGTAGTCATCACATATGGCGGCGACACTACCACGAGGCAGTGCTGTCCGAGCGACCGTGTCTGTGCGCACACGGACACGGTCGCTCGCTTGTGTGCGTCATCCCCTCCCTATGCGACAGTGCGACCAAAGGCCGCTCACGGCAGCACTGCCACGAGGCGTCCTATACAATCACCTAGTCATCACATATGGCCGCCACCCAATTTCCCCTCACCGCGCTCGCTTGGGTCCCCTCGTCCTAAATCCTACATTACGCTCCGTCCATATATTCTTACGTCCATGATTATTGCTGTCTACCCTTGGATCTAGCTAATTGTAGGAACTAAAGGCAAAGACCAATTGTGACCGCCCGTCGGCGTCGAAGAATCAGCGCGTTATAAAGGCCTGTGTCCACGACGCTAGAACCTGGACCAAGTTCTAGCATCGTGGACACAGGCCTTAAGACTCTCGTAGCCTGTTTGCGCGCACGCGCGAAAAAGCGGCTCTCCAACACCGCCGCTAGCGCCCCGGGCGCCCAGCGGCAGCTGGCAGCGTAGCCTGCATAGCAGCGCTGCCCCCGACAACGAGCGACCTGACCGATCCGCGACCGCGCGACCGCCCGCCGTCGACGTCCGTCTGTGACGCTGACGGCTGCCTTTGACGTACGGACCGTACCGTACTGTAGGTCATGTAGTGTGCTCTCGAAGCCCGTCCTGCATGCACACGCGTGACAAAGATGTTTGTCTATAGTTGATAATTGTTCCGATAACGCTAAACATGATGGATTATGAATTTAAGATGAAGACGCAGAAAGACCGCACCAAGGTCGAGGATCTGTTCGAGTTCGAGGGTTGTAAGGTTGGACGAGGTACTTACGGGCACGTATACAAGGCCCGTAGGAAAGATGGGTTAGTCTCTCTCTAGCCTGACTTTTCATTACTTCGCAAAACTTGCTTAATCCCACACGTTTAATCCCGTACTCCCAAAATACCTTCGCATCCACCCTGGTAGATACGGAGACACTTCCTTCCGTGCGAAAGTACCTGCTCTCGTCCTATCGATCGCCTTTTATTCGACGTTTCTCCTCGAGTGCGAGAGAGGGTGTTTGCTCATTGTCCACCTCGTCCGAGTTCGCGTTCGGCGTTCGATTCGACGCGGTTACCCGACCCTTGGTTTAATCACGTCCCGTTGCTCGACCTAGTCGTCGATGCAATCGCCAATTTTCCAAGTGCTGCATTGAGCTTTAAATAGGGTAATGTGAGCACACGAGCGTGAATCGGTATTGTTTGAACGCATCCACAATCCTTCAACGATAATTGATTGTTGTCCCCTTACGTATATCTGCATGTGTTAATGAATTCAATATCGATATCTGCATATTGCTCGCGTCAATTGTGATTTATCACTTTTTTTTATGTTGCGACCAGGGTTTCAGATAGCGAACTAAAGTCTCGGCCTGATACAAAAGACTTTGGCCTTAAGCAAATTGAGGGTACAGGACTTTCAATGTCTGCATGTCGAGAAATTGCAGTGAGTTGCCTCGTTGTTCTTCAACGTTGCCGAAACGTTCGTTCGTAAGGCGCGATGGACAAATCTGACTGACTTTCTTCTATTCCAGTTACTCAGGGAACTAAAGCATGTCAATGTCATCACTCTTATTCGTGTTTTCCTCTCGCATAACGACCGTAAAGTTTGGTTGCTGTTTGACTTCGCCGAGCATGACCTATGGGTACGTTCACAATTCCAATTAAGGAGCGACGTATTTTTAGATCAAGACGTAGGATATCTTACAATAACGCTTGAATATCTTGTTTGCAGCATATAATTAAATTTCATCGAGCAGCGAAAGCCAACAAGAAACCGGTGATGGTACCGAAAGGCATGGTCAAATCTTTATTATATCAAATTTTAGATGGTATTCATTACTTACATTCCAATTGGGTACTTCATAGAGATTTGGTAACTGTCGTTGGCATTACTACACGTTTCTCCTCCTCCTACTTTTATTACACTTACAGATGACGTAATCAAATGTCGCCCTTCTTCTTGATTTCAGAAACCAGCAAATATTTTAGTAATGGGTGAAGGAAATGAACGGGGACGTGTGAAAATTGCCGATATGGGCTTCGCTAGATTGTTCAATGCTCCTCTCAAACCTTTAGCAGATTTAGATCCCGTTGTAGTTACATTTTGGTATAGGGCTCCGGAATTACTTCTAGGTGCCAGACATTACACGAAAGCTATAGGTCCGTTTACATTTATATCTTACACCGCATACTTCTGTAAATACGAAGATTCGGTTCTGGTACTAAACATTTTATTCTGTCGCAGACATATGGGCTATCGGCTGCATATTCGCGGAGCTCTTAACATCCGAACCTATATTTCATTGTAGACAAGAAGACATTAAGACTAGTAATCCGTACCATCATGATCAACTAGATAGGTGAGAATGTAACACGATAATGCACTTGCTTTGTACAAACTATGGAGAATGAGACAACTATAAGCTGTGACTTTTATTTAGGATATTCAATGTGATGGGATTCCCATTGGAAAAAGATTGGGAGGATATCAAAAAAATGCCGGAGCATCCCACCTTACTCAGAGATTTCAAGAGATCCAAGTGAGCTTGTCAGCTTAAAATACAACTTGATCGACGTTCCACTCGAAAAATCGTTAAATATTACTCGTTTTATTTTCAGTTACGCAAACTGTTCACTTACTAAGTACATGGACCGGCACAAGATCAAACCCGATAGCAAGGCATTTAATTTGGTATGTTATATAAAAAATACGAGATACAGGGCGTCCTAAAATTCGCGAATCAAAATACCATAGCAAGAAAGTCGTCGAAAAAATAAATTAAAAAGTTATTAACCATTTTTCGTTCCGAGCAGTAGTTTTTTTAGATAAAAAGGTTCAAAACAGGCCAATCATATGATTGGTATTTTGATTCGCGAATTTCAGGACACCCTGTATAAGAGTTTAATAGCATGCCGGACAAACGTGATTTTTATCGCAAATGTGTTTACTGTTTCAGTTGCAGAAACTACTGATGATGGATCCGAACAAGCGTATTACGTCAGAGCATTCTATGCAGGATGCCTATTTCCAGGAGGAGCCACTGCCAACACAGGAGTACGAATCTATTTCTATATTTTTACACGTAACAATTTATACGGTTTTTTTCCCCTAATAATGCTGTTAAATTTCATTTAATACGAAAATCACAGCATATTTGCCGGGTGCCCTATTCCTTATCCCAAGAGGGAATTTCTCACGGACGATGATACTGAAGAAAAGACTGAAAACAAAGCGAGGCAAAATCAGCAACAAACGGTAATTACCTCCGAGATATATTGAGAGCATTTATATGGTATACTTTGTATGGTTTAAGCCGCAACTACTATAATAAGATAACCACTTTAATACAGACATAGCTTGTAATATCCAAATAAGTATCTATTTATAATGCATATATCTTCTATATTTAAAAAAAATGGTTTCGATTGTTCAAACGGCCCCATATGACCGCCGCAGTGGCAAGGCGAGTGAAGCCCACTTTGCCGCTGTCTAAGCTCCGTCGCTATATGGTAGTTGAGGATTGAACTGATTTTTTGAACGTCGCCTTGTCGCTCATCCGAGTATTCGTGAAACAGCAACAGCAGAACCAACAGCAGCAAGGTAACGGCGATCACAATCACGGGCAGAACGCGAAACGGGTGAGGCTGAACGGGCCGCACGGTGCTCCTGAGTTCCATCAGCACCAGAGCCACGCGATGACCCATCAGCAACCACCAGGGATGGTTTATTCGACGGCCCAGCCAACGCAGCCGTCGAACTTTCATCAACGTTTCTAATTTTGTCGCTCGTAATTAAACCGATCAGAATCAGGCCGAAACTTAAACTGTCACTAATGCATTAATTTAATTCACTAATCCTGTCAACAAAGCGGTCAGTCCGTGTATATTCCGTACAAGTACGATAATACAACTTTATTTATATATATATCTATATATATACATACGGAAGATTATTTTTTATTTCACGTCTGCCTTTTTTTTCCTTTTATTTCCATTTCCTTCTATTCCTCCAATTTTATTTTTATCAATGGTATAAACTGATTATAAACGCCAATAGTCTTCCCCGAGAAGGTCTCGCTCGTAAGAGCACTGACGATGGTCGCGAAGACGAGAAAGGTGGAACAGAGCGGGCAGCGGAGAAACGAAAGGAAGGGCTCGATCACGCGTGGGGCGAAGGGGAAGGAAAGCGATCGGAGTCGGGTGTCGATTAAACGGCGGAGGGGGATCTATCGCGCACGCGCGCGACGCGAAACGCGCGTGCGATTGCGGCGGACGTCGCGTCGTCGCGGGCTCCTGAAACGCAGTTTCCGCGAATCGCTGCTCGGCGAAAAAAGTGCGTACACGCGTGCCGCTCCGATGTCGTTCGGGATGTCAGTCAGGCGAGGCGCCGTCGGCCTGGGGGTCATCGCGTTGCTTCGATGAGAGGACAAGGCAGGTGAGGGCTCGTTCCTGTTAACGCTCATATTTCTACATTTGCACGATATGCAGCACTTTTTTTCACTTAGTGATTATTGCAGCCATTCTGTCTAGAACCTAGCAAACATATTAAAAACCTGAGAAGGTTTGCGGGATAATCCGAAGCAGATCTCCAAAAATAGATTCTACAAGCAAACATTATATAAAAATAACTAATTAATTATTTAAAATACGTAACGTTATATCTTCATTGCGTGTAAATATAATAGCCATTATATTGAAAGAGCAAGAATATCTAGATCTTAAAGTTACACGTGATAAAATTCTTAAACCCTAAGAAACATTTAATGTCTCTCTTTAAAAAAAAAAAAGAAAAAAATTCCATGAAGTGAGAATCGTTTCTCGTACGATGACGATTTTAAAAAATAATTAAGGATTAAGAACGCGATGGAAAATATGTGAAAATTTAAGGGAAGCGAGTGATTTATTTATATCGGTATGTATCAATCTCTTGTTTTACGTTCTGGGAAAATAAATTTTTCAAGAGTAAACTATTTTCAACAGTGAGTTCACATTTTACCGCTGGACATGCTGCAGTAATACAGACCATACATTCATATCCTCGCCGCGCTTGTTAAATGTCTCGTCTTCACCTTTGAACACAGCCTTCACATATCGAGTAAATAGGACACGTCGTATACGTATTTTCGGTTAAAAACAACGGAGGAGAGAGTGCGGAGAAAAAAAGACCTGATGTGCTCTACTCGGCCACCGTGCACGATTCTCGCCGCGTAGTGACTTCAATGCTTTTTCACCCGCACAGGTGATGTCTTCCGCGCGTTCGCGTTTTGGGATTTTCGCCTTCTCGCGTTTCTCGCGACGCGAAGGCAGTTCGTTAGAAGAAAGATTGTTAAATGCTTGTGCCACGGTCGCACAGGTGCGGTCTCACCGAGCGATAAGCGATTAGTGCCGCTGGCACAGTACTGGTACTATGATCCGCGAACAGGGCCGCTTTAGGCCACCTCGGTCAATTCTGATTCAATGGGGCTTCGGCTTCTAAATGGGGAACACTGTGTTAAAATAAATATGCGTTTGTTTCGAGTGTGTAACATGCATTAATACTGGTAGATATTTTCCCGAGTGCGAGAGACCGCAATAAAATAACTTTCACATTACATTGCGCTCCGTGTTACGCCATAAATCTCATTAACGTTCCGTTGAAATCGTTCTGTTTGACGTCAAAATAATACATATCAGTTTATTTTAATTACAGCGTAGAGAAACATACACGTTTCTCATGTGTTTCCGATGCGCGCAATTGAGTGCAGTTTTAACTGGCATCGGCATAGACTGTATTTCATTGTATTAGAATACGTAAACAATATTTATTATTATCTACTACGTCATATTAAAGCAACTACACATGTAGAGATGTATTATTTTATTGCCATTATGTAACAATATATATCGTCCAATTTCAAGAATCTCGGTGAAACCGGCCCTGTTACTCGGTAAACAAATGTGGCATTTAGAAACGGCGAGCGCGCGCTGCGCGATAATCATGCTCTCGATTGCGAGGCATGGAGGAAATGTATCGGTTTGATCTCATCCAATCTTTTATTTTGCCTTCGGAAAGAGAGAGAGACAGAGAGAGAGAGAGAGAGAGAGAGAGAGAGAGAGAGAGAGAGAGAGAGAGAGGCTATTAGATTGAAGGAATTAAATCGCATAATGTAAACGCGACGTAAAAACGCCGGCAGCTTAATGCTACGCCCTATAAACACATCAGTGCTCTCAAAGAATTAACCTGGAGCAGTAATTGTCCCCTTCCATTCGTTATAGCTTTAGCTATAATAGAACTAGAGGGAAAAATTTGCATAACACGCTTGGCGTTAGGACTAAATCAATGTAATAGACTTTGCTTTTTAATAAAATTTAATATTCTGGGTATTTTTATAACGTAAAAAATAGTGTAAAAAATCAACTGTGGTCTACCTAATTTCGTATTCGTAGAATCTTTTATAGATCGATTCTTTTGACTGGAATCATGGATTCTCTTGACCGAAACCATGATGCAGCAAAATACAAAGATCAAAAGAATGTACAAATTTTACACGGGAATAAAATTACATCGTATCTTTGACGTTCGAAGTAAAAACAATCTTTGAAATTTGAATCTATAGGTAACTGTATTGGGTTACTTTCAAGTATATCTTCTTATAAAGTGCAAAATCCTTGGCGATTCAATATTCCAAATTTTGTTAAAATTAAATTACTTTTAATTCTGAGTAATCACATTTATTAAATAATGCTTTAATAATCACGAAAGAGACTAAACAGTCACCGAGCTTTTCTACCTGTCATTACGCGTCGATCGTTTGCATGTCAGCATTCGTCAATTACTCGCCTATCGTCCACGTTTAACGGCATACAATTATGGAATGAAAGGAGTTTTCCCTTCGTGTGATATGTTACTCAGCATCGCGAGTATAATTCGCGTATCGATGTGCGCGATTGCGATCGGTATCTCAATCAAATGCGCCGATGGATCGAATGGACAAACGTATGATAATCGAAACGCGAGTGATAACAGCACGATAAGCAGTTGGATCCGCTTGATTCTTTTGCCGTGTCGAAGGGATATCGTAGATGCGGGTAAAAATGATGGGGAAACGGGGAACGGACGATTCTGTTCACTATCCCCAATCAGTAGAGGCCATGACCACTTTGCGACAAGGTGATCACGATCAAACCGCATTGGTGCAGAATCGTTTGATTCGCGTCGTCTTCGATTTTTCTTAACAAATCAAACAGGATTTGTAAAATTTGAAAGAAATCGATGAGAAAATTAAGCAAAACTCCTTTTTATTAACCACTTTAGTAGGTCTTTCTCTGTCCTTGAGAATCACCATTGTTGCTATAAATGATCGTTTGTGACGGGACTGGTTCGATCATCGGGATCGCTCAACATGCAACACCGACTGCGCGTTCAAAAGACATAAACGACCGACAGGACGTGTAAAATCGATCGTCAAATGCAAATTTCGATGGATCGCGCTTGTCGGAGCCACGGCAGCCGGTTTCTCCGCGCCGCCGCCACGTGCACGATGAAAAATACTGACGATCTAGTATGCCCGGTCGAGCATTTCATTTCGCTCCGGGCAAGGACGATCGCGTTATGCCATCGCTGGCTTTCACGTCGACTTTCGAGAAACGTGACGATACTTTCGACCAACGAAATATGTTGGTCTTACAAATTCCACGAGACACGGCAATCGGTAAATCGTTTACAATCACGATCCTCGGATTCTAGAGGATCGTCATGTCCCCTTCTTTCTTTGCGCGTCTTTGTCGAGCCTGAACACGTGGGACGACTGTTGCACTGTCAATGCATCAGTCGTTCTCTGCTCACTGCGGCTGATTCGCCTTAATCATCTCATCTGCCTCAAGCTGCACAAATTATATCCCGCAAAATTCGCAAACTCGATTCGGCGCTAAGAGTAAAATATTGATCGTGCTCTAACCAAGCTTCATTCAGTTTACTTCCACACAATTTTCTTCATTTTTATACACCACTTGTCGCATAGTTCTCGTACATAGTAAAATACACAAAATAAGAAGCTTCTCTTATTTCTTACACTATGTGTAATAACGCGAGACGTTGAAAAGTTCCGAAAATCCTGTCCGTCATTTCGCGAGCGTTTTTAACACGTCGTCGAAACTAGCACAACTTTAAACCTTCGGTTCTCCCAAACTCATCGCGAGGTCAAGGCCATCCCGTAAGAGGTTTCGAGTGGCCCAGGTTAGGATCTAAAAGGCCTTCCACCGGTTAGCGCCCTATATGGAGACGTCGATGCCTACCTTCGCCCCGATTCTTTTCTGATCGTCGCGTAACCGACGGACGCCGCACCTCGGACTTATACATGTCGTTCGAGCTGGAAAATCCTGGAAACATCTTCCCGAGTGCGAAAGCGTTTAGATTGTACCAAAACGCGATCGTGGCACGGGGGTAACGAGACGGGGAAAAGGGGGACAGAACAGAAAATCGGCCGTGACTGCACCCGTACATGGCCAACCATTACCCACTTTTCGCGCGTGCCTTTTTCCGCTAATGGATAACAACCAAGATATCGGCCAGCCTCTATACATACAAGAAATGACGAACCAGACGATTTGATTCATGTGTCATCGCGCTCTTTTTGCGTTCATCGAGGTGTCGGTTCGATTGTTTAAGATGCCAGTTATCATCAATCAACGATAAAGTTTATTTTAGTACAAGACAATACAAGTAAAGGATTTTTATCTATCGCTCGATACCATATCGGACTAATTCTTCCTGGAGAACGCGTATCGCCTACTCGCGATTCTCTTCGGCAATCAACACCCCTCGGGATTTACCCAGATAGCACACATGGTTCTATGACTATTCTTCTGGATTGCAAATATTCTTAATTTCAAAATATTAAATCGAATATTCTATAAATATATATATATATATATATATATATAAATTATTGCAGTTAGAAATCGTTTATTCATAACAAAGAAGAACGTTTTTGGAATATTCGTCGAGAATGTCTTTGGAATATTCGATCAGAATAATTTTTGAATATTCATCAAGTTTATGCATTGCACATTGTTTATTGTGTAATACAGGTATCTTATGCAAAAGGCAGTGAAACCTGTGACCATACCATGTATAACCGACACGCTATATTTGATAGATTATTCTATTCACATTCAAAAAAGATCTATAGTAGTGCCAGTCGAATATTCCACGAACATAAGATAAATATATAAGAATGAATAATGGAATATTCCAAATATTCTTGAAAAATATTCTGAAAATGTTCACAGGAGTGTCTTGTGCTCTCTAGGTTTGCCCTACGAGTGCCGGTTTTTCATATTTATTTTTTAAACTGTATTTATTATAGATTACCCCATGTCGAATTAACTTTTGTAGAGAAGATAAAAATGTTTCTTTTAAATAAAATATATCCAAATAATTAAATTATATAATTCTCGATTGGATGGCGCTTATGCTTGGCGTCTTTCTTTACCTTTTTAAAAAAGTTTTTTTTATAGATTACCCCATGTCGAATAAAAAAATGTTAATTGCGATCGATGGCATTTACAGTATTTGTGAAGTTACGAGAAAGATGAAGAGTCAGGTAACGTTCGGCAGTGAATATAAAATGAGGTACGAATGATCGAAAATATATAGGAATACTATGGAACTTTATTTAGCCGAGGAACTCTCCAGGATGCGCAACCAGTCGCGACGTCATTCTTTGTACGATTCTGCAATCTTTTAGCTATTTCCACTCTACTTGACTCTTGCTGGATAGTAATGCAAAAGAGTGTCGTCAGACGACTTTCTCCTCCCTTTTACGAAACCTAGTTCAAGTAATATACAAATTTTCCTCAGCGATTTCTCAGCCAGTTCGCGCCTATCTCGAGTGCATCGACAATCTCTGCTCTTGTTACGTTGATCTTGTCCAAGGAACAGACACCCCCCCGTTCGCTTTTCGCAGGATCGCGAGACAAATTGAATCGAGATCGCGTCGATCGTGCGTCTCTCGAGTTGACGAAGCCGGGGAACATTGGCGACAGCCGAAACCTCTTTTGTCGCGAGTGAAAGACGTGGGAGGGGTGGAGTGCGATAGTGAGCTCATGGGGACGGAGTGATCGGGAACCACTGAGACAGAGAGAGGGAGAGAGAGGAGAGACGAGGTCAACAAGGTGCCCGATATGGTATCCTGCGACCGCCGCGAGTGCCATTTTACTTACACGCACGACGGCGGTGCGTATACACTTGCGTACGTCCAAGTGTATGCTCAACCGTCTCTTCCTACGCTGCCTACAATTAGCAACTATCGTCAAGTCGCCGCCTAACTTGCCGAATGCAATTTCGTGCATCCGCCCGAAGTGGCCTGCATACGGCTCTTTCTTTCACCAGAAAGACGTCTTTCCGCGGGAAACCGCGTTTTCTTTTTTCGAGAAAAATTCCTTTCCATCGCGACGTCCATAATTGGCACGAGATGCGATAACTCACGGCTAGTTGTAATTTTTCAGATCATCTAGGAAAGTTGTCGTTGAATAATATATAAAAGAGAAGCAGCCGAGTGCTGCGACCAAGATTGCTCGTTCAATTCTCATTTGCGTACCAATCGTTCCTGAACGAGGAAGGACGAGGCGCAAACCGCTATCCCTTAATTCAGAGTTAATCGGGGATTCCACTCGCTCGCGCGCGCGCGCGCGAACAATTCAATCAGCGAGGCGATCCTTCCCGAATTCGTTGAATAACATCGCCCGAAGGAGAAAGAAACTAGACCGCTCGTCGCACGCTCGGCGCACCTGGTTTTTTGCACCTCAAGACCGTCCACGTCCGCGTCCGCGGCCGCGGCCTTCCTAAGATGGGCAGCGGCCGTAAACGCGTGCGCTCGGGCGAGCGTGCCGACTTCGAGGTCGTGTCGCCGTCGCCGTTGGTCGTCGAGGAACGACACGACTCGCAGGAAGCTCTCTCGCACGCGTGATACCTGGCGATTCACGCGAGCGTGCTTAACTCACGCAGCAAGCACACGGTGCACTCGCGTGAATCATCGCGTGGGCCTTTACCTGACTGCGTTTATATTCGGAATCGCAGCGGCTCGCTGATGCTTTCGTCGCCGGTCTAGGTACCGCGTGTAGGTCTCGGCTCTTCTCGTCTCGTCTCCGTGCTCGCGTAGGTCCTTAATATCCGACCGATCTATTTTTAAGCGTGACTAGCAAGAGGTACGCGCACGCACGATGACGCAATCCTATGGTCTTTCCCCTTGTATTTCCTCCATGCCTATTGCTTCCTCTCCAGCTGTCGGGTGATGGGACCGAACGGGATTCGTGTTTGCCGACTAATTGATCTTGTCCGGAGAGAAATCGACCGTGAATTGGACAAGAAGATCGAGAGAGTAATTTGACGATGTCGATGTCGACTCGACATCGTTTCGACATTGATCGACGAATCATTTCTCACTTGGTACTTGGTCCTCCGGAGGTCTTTTCGTACGTGTTTCATCAGGTTGCATCGACCAGAATAGTTTACGCATGTTCATCTTAATCCTGTCCGCTACCCATCGCTACTACTGCTGTTTTACTACTCTTCTCTCTTTCTCCGTTTTCATACGCACTGTATAGCTCTATTTTCATCTCGCTCCTTCGTTCTAACTTCGTGACTAGCGTCAGCGACTTTCTCACTCTTTTCCGTTAACCGTTTGCATCCGGTGCGACGCGGCTGTGCAACAGCAATGTCGGCGAACGTCGGCGAGCCTTTTCGGACACGGGAGTTTCAATAATGCACGTGGATGGCGCATACACGTGCAATGTTTCGTTTGCACATGTCACGTTTACGTTTAAGGAATATCGTTGCGTACGCACCAGCGATTGCACGTGTTACACGCCGCAGCGAACGCCGATATCCCCGGTGAGCCTAATAAGATTTTGACGCGGGATCCCTCATTCTCTTTGCCCGTTTCTCCTTTCTACGCGGAGAATAATCCGTAAAGTCTGTTACAATTGGTCGTAGACTGTAGTCTTTCACAGCTTACGTTTTTCTCTGCCTTGCCGTAGGTTGATGGCAGAGAACGATCCGTAAACGCTCGAGCCTAATATTACATTTATTGTACGACAAATATTATAATATTATCCTAAGGCTGATGGCAGACAACTATCCGTAAGTCTACGACTACGTCAGTCTTAAGCGCTTACGGATAGTTGTCTGCCATCAGCCTAAGACTGTCTTAGTCGTATACGTAAGGCAAGGCAGAGAAAAACTGAAGTCGTATACAATAGACTTTCACGACTAGCCATTCATAAGACAGCCATTCTGCTCAGGCCCTAACTCTTCCCCTTTTTAGGGACGTAGAATGCATAACGTAGAGTGTATAACAAGCTGGCAATTAGCTCCAGTACGCACGCTTAAGCTTCAACCTAGACCTCGCTCCACTTCACTTGTTATTGCGAATTTTACGAGGAGAGAGATTGATGCCGAGTCCAATCTCAAGAATCATTAATCTTCGCAGCGTAAATGAAGCGTTTTCACGCTTTAATACAAAGCGATCCCAGTGTTCAGACTGTGCCGCCTAGGAAATTCGCTTTTTGCTCGATTGAGTCATAGTCCGAGAGGCAAAAAAAAGGTTGCTTGTCTCTCGAATCGACCGGCGCGACGGTCGTCTAAAGCCGTGGCTCTACGAATGGCCAGCGCTTTATCTCGGATCCTACATTTACATTTTTAACCCGGTCCCGCGGGTTTTCGACTCGAGTGGGTGTAGCAAAATCGGCTCGTCAACCGAACGTTTCTTAATCGCTTCGTTCAAGATAAACTGTAATGAATACGAGAGGATGAAGAGAAGCAAGATAAAAGCTAACTGAAGAATCATTCAATGTCCGCGCATCGGAGAGAATTCTTCGAAATTGACAATAAAATATTTCATGTTTTAACCAAGGATTCAGTTTTTGTAAGCAATTCGCTATACAAGTAGAAATTTAATTGCCCCAGATTTTATTTTCGCTATATCGTAAAACTGAATCGACCCTCGAGAATTAATCCTAAAAGCAATCGCTTAACGCAAACGCCTGGAAAGTGTTTTTTTATAGACGTCATTGAGCATTAATTGTGGTAAGAGAATTAAGTTTAGTGCCTGTTACGAAACTTTAACTGGCATTACCACGTGATATCCGTTTCTGCCACGGTAGCGTCTCGTTTTAACGGTGGATTAAGAAGAGAGTTATGCGCGCTAACGCGCCGTTTCCTTCTACAGACGCTCGACCCCGAAGTAATTAGCGTTTATTGCAAACCTACTATAAAAAACGTTCTATAAATCAGACAGGCGTACGCCGTTAGGCAGTCCAACGGTTAACATTTCGTCTCGGCTTTAACGTAATTGCGCGCACCGTCTAGTATAACCCAGTGAGAAGTAATCCGTCGAAATGATGTCGAATCGACAACGACCGACGAGTCATTTCTCGCTGGGAATGTGTTAAAGTTACCCTCGTAACCACGTGTCAGCGATTTTATCTTCGTAGAATTAAGAAGTCGATTCTTCTGACGTGACAAATGTGCCGAGGGGCGCAAAGGTACGGAGGGGTGGAGAACCGGCATGTAGAATTCCTTTCTTGTATCGTTACAGGCTGGAAGCGCAGCATCCGCGGATGCAGCCAATATGGATTCCCACGTCGGTCTCGACTACATCGTGGATAATCCCGATTATTGCGTCAAGCTCGCCTCAGGTAAATTGTCCGACGTTCCCGATTCCGTAATCTCGCGAGACTGTGCCGCGTATTAACGCCTCTATAATATTCCACCGATTGCAGCGTTGGAGACGGCATGCTCGTCCGTGAAGAAGCAAGTCGTGGAGCTGCTGTCGGCGCTGTGTGTTTACAGCCAAGACGGCAGGCAGAGAGCCATCGATACTCTTCACACGTACCAGGTGAACGTTTCTGAAAGCGCGGCTGAAAAAACCTTTTTTTTCGCCCATGATTGATTATGATTCCGTGTCGCACCACGGAATTCGGACGACGGGGATGTAACGAGTTGCCACGAGGCATGGCATTTCAGATGCAGAACAAGTGGCCGTGCTTGCCGCGTTGTAAAATAGCCGTGTACCGCGCTTAGGTAAAAGTCACGGTTCAAGGTCTCCCCCTTCGAACAAAAGAACGAAGCGCGCACTGCAATAATATACTCTTAAATCCGATGCACACGCCGTGGCGCGCGTGTAACAGTTGTGCCGTAATACGCCTATTGTATAATCCCACCGCGTTGCGAAATATATTTTTATTCCGATGCGATTTGCATGAAGGGGACAGATCTCACCGACGGTCTCCGCGAGAAGCCAATTCTTTCGTCATACAACGTACAATGAAAGCGATCGTGTCCGAAGAAGGGCTCGCGGAGCCAGATAAATCACGGTCGATCGACGTGGATAAGAAGATTTCCCAGTCGGAAACAATTTTACCGTTTTGGTAACGTGGAACAAAGGTTTCTTCTTAACAGTTGACGGGAAAATGTTTCGATCCGACGCGACTGCAAGAGCGTTGACTGAGCTTCGTTTCCGTAAACTCGCCGCGACGGAAATGCCGACACCTCACCATTCTGGGACGTTTCCCAGAATTGAGGACAAGCGGCGGATATTAATCTTCTTAAACGTGACCTATGTACGAATGCAGGAGCGGAAGGGCGAGCGTTATCGATTACGAGTTGTGGTCGACGAGCTACAGAAAGCGACGGCCGAGGATTACCAGACGGCACTGCTGGCATTTATAAATTGTTTGGTCATCTCGACGCCGGTGCTCAAGGACCGCATACGTATTCGCAACGAGTTCATCGGTGAGTGAAAGAGAGCGGCACTCGAGTCTTCTTGGCGGATGCCATTAAGGCGCAGCTTCCTCGTCGCCTCGAGACTGACTACTTGACAGTCGCGCCTTCCCTAGAAAACATTTTTTATATCAACGGAAGACGAACGAAATGATTTGACGTGAAATATCGTTTGTGTACAGCCGTAATTACTTCATTTCGTTTCATATTGGCAATGTAATTGGGAAAATTCGTTGATTACTTTTCTATATATTTTTCGCTTTCGTCCGTTTCAATCCTCGGGCGTAGAACGATTCGATAAAATATGTAATTCGAGTCCGTTGTCAGGTCGATTAGAAGTGGCACTGACGTACGACTGCGGTTTCTGTTGCAGGTCTCAAGCTCCTGCCGATCCTGAATGAGCTGCGGTGAGTACACTACGACGACCCGGATCCGCGGCATTAATTTATTAACACCTTAACATTTGTGGAATAATAAATAATAATGAATGTTACGAAAGGACGCTTTATTGTACCCACACCTTTTCCTTCGCACACCGCCTAATGTCACGCGAAGATAATTACACGAAGGATTGGTTCACTAACGGAGGGAGGATCCCGTCGCGACTGCATTGACGACCCTGAACGACCGTTTCACTTGCATGCACTAATCCAAATAATGTTCTAATACAAAAGCGCGCCGTGACTTTTTGAAATAACTCCAGTTCCTGTCTTCTCGAACGTGTCGGGTTCGCAGGTATACTGTAAAACGTTTGCATAGACACACAAATAGAACTGGCCTTACCCTGTCTTACATAATTTTATCGTTTTTGTGTGGTTAAAGCAAATTTTGCTACAACCTGTTTGTACGGGCGACAAGAGCTGTCTTGGTCTCGCATTTCAGATTAATTCTGGTTTCTTCTTAAAGCGACATTTTTCGGGACCACTCGAGGTGCTCGTTATCGATAATACATATTAAACGTATCGCGATTGCTACGCACCGCTTATCGCAGTTGATACCGTTGGGCAAACAATCGTTAACAAGATTAGCGCGATCGAGTAATTATGTTTGAGATACACATCCGTTCGTAAGGACTTGTGCGACTTGCATCGCGATTTGTGCAAAAGGAGATGAAATCTGGCGAGTGATTCGGTAACGCACTGTCGAACAAAAATCTGCGTGCGATGATTGATAGGCACTCCTGAAGGTTCTTGAAAAGTTCGCTTTACGAATTTCGATGGTCCTCTCTCAAAGGTATTATCGAGATATCTCATCAAGCAACGCCTTTTCACACTAATTAATGTGCGTGACGATTGAGAAAAGAAGCGATTCCGGGGACGACACTTCATCGGTGACGAGCGATGAGCGAGAAATAGAATCGAGCGTAGAATCCAGGCGATTCGTCTCCCTCCGCGCATTCTCGGCAACATTCTCGGCGAAGATGAGAATAGAGAGAAAGATGAAAGAGGCAGAGAGAGAATTGACAAAGAAATAGTAATTCCAATGAGCGTCGAAAACTTAAAGATCGCGAAAAGTTTTTTTCAAGAATTGAGAGAAACACGGGGAAAGGGGAATCACGGAAGGAAGATAGACAGGGAGGTGGGGTAAGGAAGAGCCGCGTCGTCGTGGCAGGGAGAAAGGGGAAGCGAGGAAAGCCCGAATTAACTCCTCATCGGCACCGATGCACCTGCGACCGCATCTCGCGCCGCGCTGGAGCCAGAAATGCATCCGACGTCGCGACGCGCCGGCCGGCCGGCGTTTCTCCACGTTACCTCCGGTTCTCGAATCTCGGTCCAACGGATTCCCTTTCTCGTCGTCTTTTTCTTTCCGAAGCTGTCATCCTCGGCACCTGTGCGATCGATTCGCGGTAAGGAAGAAGAAGAAAGATAGAGAAGGGGATACAGAATAGGAGGAAGGCACCTATTTCTTCCCGATGGACCCTCGACATGGTTGACCTACATAGTAACTGAAGTCTCGCGCGGAATTAATTGACGAGTGTTCGAGCAGCGTTAAAAAATTACCAAACGTTCTCCAGCGAACTATTTCGACGCATCTCGTTGATGAATCTTATCGCCGTACTAATGAGTCGCTTCGTTGGTTCTTTCCGAAGGACCGGAACGTTCCTCTGGTGTGTGCTTCTAGATCAGTGAATTCGTTTCTACGCTTTGGCTGTTTCGTAAATGCGAAACATTTGCGTAATCTACTTGGTGAGGTTTTATTCCGGCGAGGCAGGGTTCAGATGTCCACCTTGCTACGCGCGACGCGTGAAGACTTCGGGGAGGATTTTAGGGGAGAGACGAAAGCGTTTTAGAGAAGTCTGCTTTCTTTTTGCTCCTCTTCACGCGCGGAGTTTGCCAGCATCGCTTACCGTGAGTCATTGCCGTGCTCGCATTCGTGTTCTTCGTTATCCACTTCTGTTTTGCTCGTGGCGAAGATCGATGGCAGGATTGGACCGCCGCGGAGAGTATTTTGGTACGTTCTCTCGGTAGGACGTGCAACTGGGAGCTGCCCAGACCGGTCTGCATACTTTGAATCTCAATCGTGTGTCTCCATCTCGATTCTTAAAATTTGAAATCGCTACACCGCCTATTTGTCCAATACACCACGATCACTGGGACTGGCAAACATTTTGTTTCCTTATTTTTCAAATAAAATTAAGACTTCAACGTTGCTCTTCGCAAACGATTTCATCTTTACCTTTACGACGGATGCATTAATGAGTGACCTGAATAAAATGGTATCGCGAGTGATTAATCTCGAATCTGTTCAGCACACCTAGAACATTTGTGTGGACTCCGGTCTATTTGTTGGATTCCAGAATTGACGCCGAAATCGGTGACGGCTATTTCCGTGCCCTTTGAAGGCGCGAAAGCGTCCACGGAGCGCGAACCATTCGAATGCCCCGCAACTCGTGAAATACGCGTCCTTTGTACATTCTTGATTTGCGATCGCATTACGATTTGTTCGCGTACAGAATTTGACGCCTGCGGTATTTATCGTAACATCTTGTTCTCGGACGCGTAAACAGTCGGACTTTAAAGAATTCTCGCGAATCGAGGGCGTCGAAAATATGGGGAGAACGACACGGGTGAAAATTGCAAATGTCGACGAATCGGGATGACGGCGATTGTTCTTGCAGGAAAAGCCACGCGCCGGATGTGAGGGTACAGCTGGTTGCCTTTGACGATCAACGGGAGACCGACGAGGAGCTCACGAATCACGGACCGCCCGGGATCGATCTCTCCTCTCACGTGGACGTCTTTTATGCCATCCTTGGTCAAGTGAGCGACTTCCGACATTTTCCCCTGTTTTTCAGCTCCCAATATTCCACCAGCCAATATTCTCGTTAAATTTTGCAGTCGACCTTAGCCGCGAACAAAAATGATATTGGAAAGGTTAATTTTCTACCGTTGCGCAATTTGTTTTAATTTACTTTAAATAAACGCGTCGCGCCTATTTGAGACTATTCGTCTATTAAACTGCCTCGCCACTCGATTGCTATAAAAGCTATTCAAAGCCTTCTAATCGAAATGAGCGCGTCGAGCGCCGCGCGTAAGAGACGTCTGACAAAACGCAGCACACCCGTAGGTCGCAGACACTCCGCAGGAGATACCCTTTCTGAGTGTCCTGCAGCATCTGCTGCGGCTTGACCCGAAAGACGCCGCCAGCGATCTGGCATGGGACACCGCGGAGACCCTGGTGCATCGAGCCACGTTGCTGGAGAGTCGCGAGGATGCCACCAAGTTGCTGAGGTCGCCTAGTCTTCAAGTAAATACCCGCACCCTCTCTTAATGTTTATGCCTGTTAAAAAGAAAAAGCCCATCAAAGATCCATCAAAAGACATTATCGCGCGAAATGAGTCGCGGTACTTCGTACAACGCTCTTAAAAATTACTAGCGTAACGAGGATAATTATACGCAATTCTTCCACGTAACCGAGAGTCAACGGTAAATTTACTGACTCTATCCGTTACGACTATGTTTTTCTCGGACTTTCGCCGATTATGCAAGCGACGGACGGTGACGTATCCATCGACGAGGAGACGCTACGATAGCACCCGCGTTACATCAGATCAGCTTAAATCTCGCGGCCACACTCGCGGGAATCGTCGTCAATGTCAACCGCGTAGGCTAATGTAACACAACGTGTACTTTTACTTTCTGACCGTACTTGACCGAAAGACGCGAGTCCATAAAAGAAGAAACCCGTACCACGCTTCGCGTCGATGAATCACACACGTAAACTTATCAGCGCTCCTTCCGTTCGCGCAACAATTTTGCAAAGCGAGAGATGTTTCAATTCCCGAGATTTCTCACATTCTCTTTTTGCGGATGACAATCTGATCAAATGATGCTAAATAACTTCTTGCCACACGGAATATACTTCGTGCAATCGACTACGCGTAAAGTAAGTACCTGAAAAACGCATTCAACGATTTAACGATATTTCGGACAGACGAATCTATGCTGTCACTGTCGTGGCGCCGATCAGACGTGCGGAACGTCGCGAAAAGCGTCGCTGCCGGCGAACAACAGTTCGACGGCACCCTTACCGCCACCGCCGCCACCCCCGGTTCCGGTGGCGTCGTTTCCGGGCCCACCAACGCCGCCGGGCGGTACCGGGTTTGTTCTACCGCCGCCACCTCCACCGCCGCTTTTCGCTAACGTCGCTACATCTGATGCACCGATGGAGCCGCCGATGCCACCCCCTCTACGCGTGCCCCCCGTCGCACGCGCACCTACCCCCGAACCGCCCAGTAATCACGCCAGGCTGCTGCCGCAACAAGAAATTCCCACCCCTAGAACGAAGATGAAGACCATCAACTGGAACAAGATACCTAATCATAAGGTATCTGAGAAAAAGAGGGTCGAATCTCAATCAAGAATGCCGGCCTTTCTAAAAATTGCACTTGAATTAAGGACTTCAAGTTAGAGTATCTTTTTTAATTAAGCAAAAACAATGGCGAGAAATTATATTTACGGTATCGAAATTCTTTTTTTATCTCTACGTCACAGGTGATTGGCAAACGAAACATCTGGTCCCTCGTCGCGAACGAACATCAGAATTCCCCGATGGCGGATCTAGACTGGGCCGAGATGGAGGGCTTGTTTTGCCAGCAAGTCCCACCGATGGTACCACCAGCGATCTACTCGACCTCGTGCGGCACTGGCGTCGACGTCGAACGACGTCGTCGAGAACCAACAGAGGTTGCTCCCATTTCAATGCTATTTCGCTTTCGCCCGTTCGACACCTAGGGATGATCCTACTTGTGGCTCATCCGAGTGGAGAAGTTTGTACGAGCATTTTAGTATGACTATCATACTAACAAGTATGGTTTTTGTATGAAAAATTTTATAAGCTCCCCAGAGGCTCCCCGGGAGTTCCCCGTGCGGTGTGGGATCATCCCTAGGTGTAGAACGGGCATTCGCGATCAAGAATAAGCTTATACATGTACGTTATCTCCATTGTTTTCTTTTTAGATCGCGTTACTCGACGGCAAGAGGAGTCTGAACGTCAACATTTTTCTGAAGCAGTTTCGAAGGTACGATAAGACTAATAGAAATATTAATGTATACATAAAAAATGACTGTCTTAAAAATCTTAGAAACCGACAGAGCCAGGTATTTTATTTCACTGAATTATTACCTCTATCGTACGCGCATTTTCATATTCTCCATTTAGTTCGAACGAGGACATAATCCAGCTGATCAAGGAGGGCGGTCACGATGATATCGGCGCGGAAAAACTGCGCGGCCTGCTGAAAATATTGCCCGAAGTGGACGAACTCGAAATGCTCAAGAGCTTCGACGGCGACAAGTCGAAGCTCGGTAACGCCGAAAAGTTCTTTCTGCAGCTTATCCAAGTGCCAAAGTAATATTTTTTCATTATGTGTACTTAAAGAGAGATTAACGTTTCTATTTTAAACTACAAGTTAAATAATGACGCTATCGGTATAACAGTTACAAGTTACGTATCGAGTGCATGCTGCTGAAGGAAGAATTCGCCGCGAATATGAGCTACTTGGAGCCAAGCATTAACTCGATGATACTTGCCGGTGAGGACCTCATGACGAACAAGCCCCTGCAGGAGGTGCTGTACATGGTCCTGGTCGCTGGTAATTTTCTCAACTCAGTATGTATTTGCTCGCCATCGAACAGTTGAATTCTGAGTGTCAATACGAATAAGCGAGAGTTAATTATTACGTTTAATTTAAGGGCGGTTATGCTGGCAATGCAGCGGGCGTGAAGCTCTCCTCGTTGCAGAAGCTAACCGAAATTCGCGCGAACAAGCCAGGGATGAATCTGATACACTACGTAGCATTGGTAAAACATTGGTCAATTAAACTCCAACAACTCCGAGAAACGTGTACTTTCGTAATTAAAATTACGTTAATTTTAGCAAGCCGAGAGAAAACGGAAGGATCTACTGAGCTTTGCGAAGAACATGACTGCCCTAGAAGCAGCGACAAAGTAAGAACTGCAACATGTATTACATTAATCGTGAATGAAACGTTATTCTCATAATAGACATTTCTTTCTACAAGGACGACGATCGAACAACTGACCAACGAATTTAATAGCTTGGACACGAAGATCAAAAAGATCAAGAATCAGATCCAACTCTCTTCGACCGAAATAGATATACAGGAGCAGATGGCACAGTTTCTTCAAGTAACGAATATAGAAATTAATCTCACAGATATAAACACGAGATAAAATTCTTTAAAAAGGGGCTGTATAAAGTGAAGGAAATTTTTGCTTGAAATCCGCAGATGGCCGAGCAAGAAATGGCGCAATTGAAGAGAGACATGGAGGAGCTCGAGGGAGTGAGACGATCGCTCGCGGAATTCTTTTGCGAGGATACGAACACATTCAAGATCGAAGAGTGCTTCAAAATATTCCATCAGTTCTGCCAGAAGTTCAACCAGGCAGTCGCGGAGAACGAGAGACGACGCATCCAAGAGGAGCAGATCCTGGCGCGTCGTAAACAGCGCGAGGAGCAATTGCTGGCGAGAAAACGATTGCGTGAGTGTACGCGTGTCTTCGCATAAAATAAAGCGATGCATATATTTACAAAAACTAGCACTGTTTTTGTATTTTACGATTTTTGAGCTGTTCTTTCGTAAAAAAAAAAAACAAAAGGATTATATACAAGGTTCTATACATAGCTTGAAATGGTATTGGAAATAGATGAATCTCAGATTTCTTTAGAAGAGCACGGTTTTCTTTTTCTTTGTCTTTTGATAGATGAGTAAGAATTGTATTAATTAAATGCACAGTAAGCAATCAAGCGGAAACGCCGGGCTCGGAATCTGAATCTAACTTAATGGACTATGGGCTTTTCGACCTCCACACCGGTTTACCTCAGAGAAATTACAGCCGTGGCGAGGCCAAGGTAAATTCTGTCATATTTACCCTCTACTTAACGTCTACTTGTAATATCTAGCATGCTTGAAAAAAATAGTGGCGCTAAATAAAACACGAATAAATGTCTCGAAACAGAGAAGAGTGGATTTCATGAGTTCTAAAATTCATTAAAATGCAGAAGATGACAAAACGCAATCGCGAACATTAAAAAAAATTTCAATAATTTTATAATTTTTCGTATTGTCGCGAGATTTTATTATCTCATTTTAGAATGAAAAATGCCCTTTTAAAATCTTTGAAGCAAAAGAATTTTAATATTATAACACACAGAGTAAAAAAATGTTGAACGATATTTGTGTACGCAGATAAGAAGATTACAGAACGGTGGCGTTACGTCGGACGAGGATGTCTCGGTCATTGGGTCACCGAGCATCCGACGTCGTTTAGGCTCGTGTTCCGGCCATCCCGATCAACAGTCTACCAAAGAAGACACGTATTCACCAGGTATCACATCGCAACTTACGTTGAAAAAGCTATAAAATTAAAAATCTCTCGAATAGTACAGATCGCAGTTACTTTTTTATAATCAATGAAGCTGTTTGCAATAAGAATCGAATATTTTTGAATGCTCTACAGGCCTTTATATGATCGGCTACTATTATTTGTATGTATTCCACATTTTTAATTACCAGATATCACGCCTAACGGCACACTTCGTCGGCGCAGGAGTAGAATACCCTGCGAGGACGATGACGGAAATCTGATGGACTTTTTACGAACGTCCGGACAGGATAATACCCGGGAGAGAAAATCATGGGGAAGCTTAGGTATTTAGTACTTAATACAGCGTGTCACAACGCTGTTGTAAAACGAGATTAAAAACTTTTCTTTTGAAAAAAATCAAAGATCGATCATGGGCGCGGAGAGCTCGCGGACAATCGCGAAGAGGAGATCTGCTGAACGCCGATTTTTCGGGGGATCGGGAACGACCGAGTTCACCGTCTCCTCTCGCGGAGAGTAAACCGTTCCTACAAGAGGAGGAAGCAAAGCCAAGCGGGTGAGTCGATGAACAATATCATTTGCATCAACTTGCCTTTGTCACTTTTATATATAAAGACTTGAAACAAAGAGAAAAACGCATATATGGATAACGGAAACCAAATACAAATTTAATAGAGAAAAGAAAGTCTTATTGTTAGTAAAGTTTGATTTATCTCGTGTGGAAATCAGGAAAGCCTGGCGCCAAAAGATCGAGGCGTGGCTGTCGGAGAACGAAAAGGAGGATCGTGCGGGCGAGCAGCTTCAGAGAAGAGCGAAGCAATTGCATCAAGCGAACCGACGGTCCTTCGAAGACTCGGGTGAGCAAGCTTACGTTAAGCGAATACCGAGATAATTTTTTCAGTGCTAGGCTTTCTAACACGAGACATGTCCAATTACAGAAAGCGAAGGCAAGAGCTGTCCGATGAATACCTTGGCGGAAGATCAAACCGTGCTTGAAGGAGGATTTTCTGAAGTTTACGACTGGCGACCATCCGTCGAGAAAACGGATGTGATGCGCACGATGGAGGCCATTGAAGGTACAAATTATAAATCTATTGTAACTTTATACGTTATCATTGATAAACATTATAATATAATAATTGTAAATGAGCTGAGGTAACATGGCGACTGATACGATTGACGAGTTAAACGAATATCGTTCGTTCCAGAAGCTCAACCGCTATCGTCCCAGGACAAGTCTCCCTGGCGAAAATCAAGCTTAAACGTACCAAATAGTATAGAAGAAGCTGATCCACGTTATTCCCGTAGATTTAGATCGCGACACAACACGGAGAACGCTCTCATGCCGAGCACATTGCAAGTAAGTGGGAATAAGACTAGCTTATCAAGCTTAACTTAATGATACATAAAAACAATTCACATGCAGGAGAATGATTTCAAGTAAAGTCAGAAGACAAAAAGTATTTGCACACACACACACACACACACACACACACACTCTCTCTCTCTCTCTCTCTCTCTCTCTCTCTCTCTCTCTCTCTCAATGTTAAAGATTTTAAGAATTAAATTATATCACGATGCATTCACAGGCAATCAGAGAAGAAGACAGGAAGAAAAACAAGATCAGTGACGCGATAAATTTAGATACTCAGGACGAGTTGACAATCTATCTGCGGCAGCCGTACACTAGAACGCAAACCCCTACAACCCGGCGATTCTCCAAGCTCAGCAGAAAAGCCACGGACGAGGATAGAGTCAGCGATAAGATCGAGATTGATTCGGACAACATTGAGACGCCACCGGCAACCAGACGATTGTTCAGTCCGCCAAGAGAGGTAAAACCTGTGGAGAAGGAACCTTGTAAAAGGGAACGTTGCAGCAGCTCCCTCCAGAGTCGAGAAACAAAGACTGCGATATTGAAACCGATTAGCTCCGGCACGGATCTAGGGACCGGTAAGCCCAAGTTGGAAACAATATTAGATATATATGCGCAGAATTCTCATTCTTCAAAGTCTCGTTCTCCAGTCAAAATTGACACATAAAAATCATATATATATAATTTGCAATTTTTTAAATTCTTTGGAATATTAATTTCTGACAAAATGTATCTTAATTTCCAGGTAATTTTGATAGATATTCAGCGACGCGACGAACACGTAGGTACAAGAAAAGCCAAGACCCTACGGGGGACAAAGACAAGTCGGATGTGTCGAACCTCGAAATGGTTTACGACGACAAGTCGACAGTGCAGCGGCCCAATACCCTCGTACTCGCTGATGAGGGAATCCACCACAAGGACGCGGACGCGGACGTCATGCTGCGCGTTTGGCAGGATAAGCTGAAGCGGCGCGACACTGCCTCGTCATCGTTGTCGCACGACATCGATGCCGCGTTAGCGGAGATCGCGCGCTCCGGTGAAGATCTTCAACATCTGTCGCGCTCGGCATCGACGACGACAACGTCGACGACAACGGGTCACAGAAGCTCGCGACTTCCGGTCAGCCAACCGCCGCCAGTGGTGGCGGTGACCAACACCGTGTTGAGTCCGGTGATGCAGGAGTCGCGACCGCGCGAACCCGTCACAATGCTCACTGAACGGGCGGTGACGAGCCGTGAGCGTCATCGGAGCATGATCGATCCGAGTCAAGTGAAGGAAGCGGTCCGTTTGACCAGCAATCCACCCAGTCAAGTGAACCAGGACCAGGAAATCGTCAGTGGCTTCCCGCGAAACGCAAGTTTGCCGCGCGACCGAAACAATGAGCAGGACGACGTATCCAAGATTGTGGATGAAGAAAAGCGTGTGGATCTCAAGCCGATCGGGGGCACGAGAGAGGTCGAGAAGAACAGTCGATCCGTGGACGATTCGCGCGACGATCGGACGACGACTCGGCAGAGTCCCATGTTCCGCAGTCGATTTATACCTGATATAAGTGTGACATCGTCGCCGCCATCGTCTGGCAAGAGCAGAGATCAGGAATTGAACGACGAAGGCTTCGAAGAGACTCAGAGTCTCGTGTCGGAGACCTTGAGCCAGGAGACGTCCTCGGGCAATTACGAGACTGACACGCATGATTCGACGCGATGCTCACCGGCGGAACTGGGCGGTTACGGCGGCGTCGACGTAGCACGTGAACGCAGCGCTATCCCGGTGATGGACGTTGACGTCCTGGACAGGCGGGGATTATTCGTCGACAAGTTACTGAAGCCGACTTCCGACAAGGCGTTCGATAAAAAGCCGACCGCGAGGAACGCATCGGAGAAATCCAGTTTCCTGCCGAAGCGCACCGCGAGCACGAAGCGCGAGTCTTCCGCGTTGAGGAAGACCGAGTCCCTGAAAAGAACCTCGAACCTTATCCCATTGTGCGATACAGGAATGTCGAGAAGCGAGGTGCAACGTTCCGGTTCCAGAAGTAGCCTACGCAGTTCACGGAGCTCTCTCAACAGCGCGACGTCTGTCAACACGGTGCGAAATCTGGCCGCGAATCACACGCATCTGCGAAGCTACACCTCGGCCATTCGAGCGCTGACCAACGATCTGAGGAAGAGCAGTCCGTCCAACAGCCCCTTGCCGTCCAAGGACGCGGTCGACAAAAGACGGCCGAGTCCTCGTCCGTTCGGTGTTAGCAGGATACCTGCCAGTAGAAGCAGCAGCAGCGGCAGCAGCGTTGGCCCGGCAATGAGAAACGTTCGAAAAGCACCCGAGGTTGAGATTGAATTTAATCGATGTAACAATTCCGCGCAAAGCAAGTCGTTGTTTTATCCTCGATGTAATTTTTATCGTTAATCGGTAGGTGGTACCTGGCATGCCAAAGGTCACAAGAGGCCGGCCGATCGCCTCGCGTAGCAGCAGCAGCGGAAGCAGCGTCGGTCAGCAATCAATCTTAAGAAGTCGACCGCTTTCCGGTGATAAAACGTCTGTAACAAAGAGCAGATTGATGCAGCCGCGTATCAGCTCGAAGAATCACAGCTTTATGAGACCTACGGCCGCCAGCGTCAACAAGGGTTCCACGCCAAACTTGCCCAAGAGCATCAAAGTTATGGTCAAGTGATAACTCTCATTGATAAAGAATTTAAGGTCGAGAAAAAGCAATACATACACACATTAACAATCGCGTTAGAATTAACAAACCGTTAGCGTTACGTAAGATCCAGTCGAATCCGGAGTCTGATAATTGATAAGCCGCAAATTGTAAGGACAACAATATCGACGGACAGCTCGAGGATGTTGATAATGTTATCGTAAGGTACAACTGCAAGATTAGATAAACTGTTATTCTCGCTTACTACGCTGTCTCACAATTGTTAAACCAAAATAAGTAAGATTATTATCGTCTAATCACACCAAGCAATGCGAGTGCTCGGATAAGAGGAAAATAATCAATATTTCTCTAGCTTTATCGCGCGCGACGCCCACGTTACATGACCAAGGAAACTTTAAGGGGAACGCCCCGACCTTTCGGCGCCAAATTGAGGGAGTTTTCCTTTCAGTAGCCTAGAGAACATATTTATATAAGACTATAGGGTATATGTAACATACTCGACTAATGTGCATGTACGATATATTATATAATTCTTACCGTTAACAAAGATAAATATATTGTAGAATATATGTCCGATAAATAAATTAACATATTACGTGACAATGCAATTCGAAATTCAATACAGAAAAACCGCGCGACACTGTTAAATAAACTTACAATTAACTATACATACTTTACGAAAAAAAGAACGCAAATAAAGTTTGCTGAATAACTGCAAACACGAACATTTCGCATATTGCACTATCTTCCATATATTATTATGTATACTTTACGCACTAAATTCAACAAGAAATATCTACATATTTTATGTACAAAAATGTGTAAATCAACCATGATCATTTTCATCAACGATCCCCTTTTTCAAATTGCATGAAAAAAAAACCGCGCTCCCGACAGAGATGTTTAATGAGATCACTCTCCGAGTGTAATTCGGCACCGGCGCTTTCTAAAAAGCGTAATAATTCGAAAAAACTGACCTTTTTTCGATTGTCAACGCAACGTTATATTGCGTATAAATCTTTCGTACGGTACGTAAACATAACATTCAGCTACGGTACGGCTAGTCAAGCCGGTGCGCGCGATCGACAGGCAGTATCAGGATCGTCTTACTTTCACCATAAGCGGAATACGCACAGCTTAGAAATAGATAAATTAGAATTGAGCTCGCTGCTTTCTATGCTGGTTGACAAGGTATAATTACCACGAATGCATGTAATTTACCATGATTTTGACACGAGTTAACTCAGCCACCCCCCGATTGTTGGTCTCGATCGCGCTATACAGAATGACATAATTTCATAAACAAAATTCAAATCGTTAATAAATTATCAAATAAATCGACATTACACCGTGTATAACTATCTATATAACAAGCACGAGATCAACATTCTTCGATTAAATATACATTAATTATTTTATTAACTATTGTCGCTAGTTATCATGAATAAAACTAAATAAGGTGGCTGAGGAACTCGCGGGCACATTTGCAATTGCATCACCACCGCATCTACTTTTCGCATCTCGAATTAATTGATCGGAAATGTAAAGTAACACGGGCTCTGTGGGTTTTCTTTTGTTTTCTAGCGGAATGTAAAGAAATAGACGAAAGGGTTGAAAAGTGATACGAGGCATTGCAAGCAATGTGCGTCAATATCTTAAAAGGTAAGAAGATCCCAATTGCTTACGCTCCTACAATTAAATATAAATATCGTAACATTAAGCAAGAGTAATCAATGAATACCTTCATTGGACGAACGGAGTTCCTTTCAACGAATTAAAAAGAAAATATTACAAATAATACATACAAAAATGTAAAATAATAACGCTCACGAAATCAATCGATGAAAAAAATGAGACACACGAACTCGTTCGTGCAAGAGAGTGAAACCGTGCTCCACTCGACGACAATTGAACAATCATTCGTTCACTCGATTAACATTCATCGCTCGATGAACAGTCGCCGATGAATCGCGCATAAAAATCAAGTCATCCCAGCCCTCGACTCACGATCTCGAAACCCGAGCGACACGGGACTTTGCGGAGCTAAGATAAATTCGAACTGCAAGCCGAGCTCTTCCTCGACGACGATCTCAAATTCCCGAACGATCTAGATAAACCCCAATTAATAGCAAAGAATTTAGATTGTATTCTGATTTTCTTTCCGTCTATCTTTTACATCTCAGTTGACATACCTTTGCTAGAATAAGTTGCAGCGCAAGCTCTACGAAACGTTTACCCGGACATATTCTTCTACCTGCCCCGAAAGGGGCCACCAACAGTGGCGAGTGGGGTGCCATGGGTTTCAGCCATCTTTCTGGCAAACACTTGGACGCGTCTTTGAAATTATCGTCACTCAATCCGGCTATCCATGTATGCAATAATACCACTGTCTACAAAAAGAGAGGGCAAAAGTATTTTCCCGGCGATTGAACGTAGAGATATTATATGTGTATTATTAAAACTCACTCCGGGATCTAGACGATATCCTCCCAACTCTATAGACTCGTCTAGTATACGGGCTATGCAGGGCGTCGTGGGTACGATTCTAGAATATAACGTTGCATGTTACGAAGATATTGGACAGTTGAAAGGGAAACTCTCGACGCGCGTACGATAACGTATATGTTACATAATTGTAAAAATACTATAGATTCAAAACCTGAAGGATTCTGTGATGCACGCGCGTAAGTACTTGGCCTTTCGCAAATCGTCTACCGTGAGATCGCAACCAGGAGGCGCCAAGGTACGCGCCTCGTTGTAAAGAGTTTCTTGCACTTCAGGATTACGGCCAATCAAGTTGAAAAGAAACACCAGCGTGTTGCCTAGCTGCAAACGTCCAACGACTGTGTCTTTAACCCTGTAGTAGTAATTGTACGAGTTGACAGTCCGAACGATATAATATAAAAGAGAAAGACTAAGAAACATCTAAAAGACGCCGATGTCTTGGAGAGAGCCCCGATGACTCGAGCTCGTCTCGCAAAAAGAAACTGCTACATGCGCTTTTTTGGAAATAAATTATTTATCCAGTATAAAACTTGTACGTTTGTAGTCAAGTTTCTAAACTGATCTGACAAATGTATCATTATAATGTAAAACGTAATTGATGGAAGGGTAGTTTTAGTTGGGTAAATTTAAAATATATTGTTGAAACGTATAGTGGGATCTTATATTCAAAACTGCCTCAAGATCATCTTTAGATGCTCTGTAGCCAATGAAATGTTCCGTACAGCATCTTTAGATAAATTCAAGACGGTCTTGAATATAAGATCCGACTGTAAATACCGGCCGTAGTCTAATAATCTCTGAATAATCGCACGCCAACGATAATTAGTACAACGTGGTTCTCTCACTGTGTGTATTCCTGCCGCTATGAAATCCACTATAGCAGCTTTCTTATCTCTCATATCGAGATCTTTTTGCCGCAAAATGGAGAGGAACACCGCCTCGATGGACTCGTCTCTGGCGTCGTCCTGCTTCTCCAACATGGTCGTCTCTACGAGATCCGAGATAATGCTAAGCAAGGAGAAGAGAATAATAAAATAACGGTCACCGCTAATCTCCTAGACTTGCGCGTTTCAGACTATCAACGTGATACAGTTTGCAAACTGAAGGGATAATTTTGACTAATTTATCTCGACTGACGAAAGATGAAATGTTTCGATATTGTAAAGCTTGATCAATCTTGCTTTTCATTTAAAGCAGCTTTAGAAAAGTAAATTGAGCGGCTTGGCAATGGGGAATTCGGTACTGATTCAACTGCGCGACGAGACCAATCGACCGTTCAGTGTAACTTGAACCAACAGTTAATAGAAAGCGAGGACACTGACTGCGAGTACACGTGACGTACTTGTATATAGTGTCCTCGCTCTCTATTAGCTGCTTGTACGCGGATGTCGGTAGCAGCTTCCAAAGCGGCATGCCGTAAAAGGCGTCGCGCGAGGCCGTGAAGTGAATCCTGACCGCTTCCGCTAATCTCATTGTAAGTGTGCTGTTGGAATCCGGTCTTAGGAAGCCTAAGTGACGTCCCAGGATCAGCGTGCACGTACCTAAGGACGAAGGGAACGAGACAGCGAATTATTCGTCTGACAAATCAAAAATTGTAGCTCCGAAACGCAAAGGAGAGGCTTTTGGCGTCCTTTCTCTCTCCGTCGAACAAGAGAATAGAAACTAGAAACAAGATATTTTCCATAGATATTCGCGTGTTGCCGTAGTGTTTCTTGTTTCGAGACTCCAAGTTCCAAACGAGCTCATTTGAAAAAGACGCGAACTAGGAAATCACTGGCAATTTCTAAACCACGTCGGCGACTTACTCTCGAGCCCCATTCTGTAAGCGAGTTCTTCGAAGCCTCTCACGGTGAAACGGCTCGCTCTACGCTCGCGGATTAGGTCGATGAATCCGTCGGTGACGATATTGAGCGCCGGGAAGAAGCCAAATACAGTACCGGCACCGGTGAGCTCCGGCGTTAAGGCGGCCCGAAGCTTCTGCCATGTCGCGCCTTGTCTGTCGGAGTTAGTCACTCATTACTCGATCGTTCTAACACCCCTAAGAATCCTACGTGATCCCGTGATCAATCGACTAACGTTGTTTCTTTTGCATTGATAGCCACGACAACGCCAAGCAAATGAAAAGAAATACAGTTTCGTCAAAAGTACGCGTTTTATCTACTATTACATCACTTAAATGATAACAAAATAATCAAATTGAAAAATGATCCAAGTAAGATGTACCAATCCTCAATTTTTCCATTTTTCATCGCGCTCTTTCGGGTCCGAAAGCGCGTTGAGAATATGTCCGTAAGGCCGGTTCTACATTGATCGCAATTGATCGTATCGTACCGTCTTGAGCGTCGCAAATCATAGATTCGACCAATCAGCGTTGAATTAGAACCAGTCTACGACCCTTGCGACGCTACGACGCGACCAATGTAGAACCGGCCTAAGAGAATAGCGAGTAATTTTGTTAAAACCCATGCGACACGCGTCGATTAATATCAACAATATCGCACGAGCATCCAATCCAGCGGCGGATCCAGCGGATTGTCCGGTAAAAGCGTAGGTTCAGAGTACGAGCCGAAATTACAGGAGGCGACCTTAAACTTGACCCCGATACGCGGCGCGGCGTGGCGCGGCGCGACGACGCGTAATCGGCGAGCTACTCACTCATTGACCAGACCAAGGTTGGTGTAACGATCGCGCCGGGAGTGCCGGTAGTGGGATATGACCTCCTGCGGAGGACGAAGCGGGTACCTCGAGCGCCGCTTGAGGACAGCCTCGATGTCGCGACGGGAGAAGACGGAGACCACGAGGCAGTTCCACAGCGCCTCCTCCTTGCACAGCGGCCCGTATCGCCGATTCAGATCTACTCTTGAATCACGGGATAACGAGCCATGTTAAAATACCGTATATCGAGGTCCGGATGTGTCGTAACGGGGCGGCTGCCCCGGATCTCGATTCGGAACGCGCCGCGTCTCTCGGCTTCGATCGCGATCCGCTTGGACGACGGTGCTGATAAGAGCAGAGCCCGTGGTTCAACGCACTTATTTGCACGAGGATCAACGCGGGAGAAAAAGCGCTTCGGCAAACGAGACGTGCGTTTCAACCGAGAAACACTGCCGCGCGATCGAATCGGCAACTACTTGCCATTGCCCGCGACGTTCATAGGTAGTCGATTCGGTCAATTCCCGATACAAAGTTCTACGAACGATTTCTCTTCTTACATATTTCATCGACATGACGTAAGCAAGTTTTAAACGATGATATAAGCAACTTTTTTACTCTCCGTTTTCCTCCGTCTCTCGCGATTACAGCAACTCACCGCGATAAGATTGGAGTATCTTTGACCCTGACCCTCTAAAAAGACACGTCTTCCCTCTCGTCTACAGATTTAATGGCGCGGGCGAAGGCCCGTAAAAATACAGGCCCGCTCCATCGAAATGGTTAATCGACTGTTACGCGAGTCGAATGGGCTCGTATCAGCGATGTAACGAATCATGTTCGCACGCGTCCACTCCTTTCTGTCTTTCATTCGACGGCGCGACCTTGAGATATCATCAAAGAAGAGGATCTAACGCGGCGTGCTTAACGCGCTGCTATCGACAAGGACAAAAGTCGCACTCCTTACCTTTATACGCTTCGTGGATCTTATTCAAGCGGTAGTGGCCAAAGCGGGAGTATATCCACCTAGTGCCCAAAATCGGCAGAGCGAACGGGCCCGGCACGTCGCGCGCTGTCTTGAACTTCCTGCCGTTGTCGCCTGCATCTGCGGGGCGCGAAGAGATTAGGACAGCTTGTCGATTAATCCCGGAGCTTTGGCTCTCAGTTTACATCGTTTTATTTACCAAGAAACTCTTTTCGCGGGTTTCTTCCTCTCCGAAGTAATGCAGATATTGCTACTGCCATATATTGCACAATGTTATCGATTAAGGCCCAGTTTCACGGTGGCTAGTTAGCTTAACTTTGTTAGCTTAATTTTGTGCCAGTGATTGGCATCGCTACTTAACAACTAGTTAAGTTAACAAGCCACTGTGAAACTGGGCCTAAGGCCCGGTTTCACCAATGTAGCTTAACTTCAAGCCTAGCTTAATTCCTTCTCCATTTCTTTTCAACTGTTACTTTAGAAAGAGACAAACATGAATTAAACCAAGATTAAAGTTAAGCAACGGTTGGTGAAACCGAGCCTAAGAAACTTAACTCTTGACTCGAACCCTAGCGCTCGACAAAAAAAACAACATCACTCGATAGCGATAAAAATGACAGAGGAGGGAAAAGAAAGTCACGGACAGTGCCATTGACCGGGAGATACCGTGGGTGTCAAGGGTTCAACTGGGAGAGATCGGGGATCTCTTGGCACTTACCGGCGTTCACGTTGTAGTTCCTGGTCCAGAACCACCAGGGTGGACGGTAGCCGGTAGCCAGCACCAGGACCGCGAAGAGCGCCGCTGCGATCGTCTCGAACCACGCTCCGGACAGCAACATCCTCCAGTCGAATCCCTGCACCGAGGCGAATTAAAGAGAGGAGGAAGGACCCCCTTTTCCCGACGCAATTGTCCGCGAGAACGGGAGCGATTATCTCGTTACGACGCGCGAAACGCTTGTCTCTCCTTCGCGGCTACGCCGGCCGAAATATGTAGTCTACGACTGGCGCCCCGTATCTCTCGGAGCGAGTTTTGAGTCATTATTTGGACGCCTCGTCGCGCCGACTGACGACCCGATGGAGGATGCGGCGACAGACTTCAGATGCGTCAAGGTTTTCAGTTTCACCAGAGAATGAGAGAGAGGGAAGGGGGGGGAGAGAGAGAGAGAGAGAGAGAGAGAGAGAAAGAGACAGAGCGACACGGATTAATCTTAATTCTTAAAATACTAAAAAACAACGTTACGCTACTTTTTACCGCAGCGGCTCTTCAGACACGTCTTGCAATTCTCTATATACCTTTGCGGTTCGTAGCCCTACTTATAGCTGCAAAGAGAATGTGGCATCCGATGGGATAAAACAACGCCCCTCGCCTTACAATCACGGACGCGTTACAAAGGCGAGAGCCCAGGGCCTCGTGCACATCCGACGTTTAACTCAGCTGTAATTGACGAGGACGCATTTTTCGCGATGCCGGTTGCGATTTACGCGCGGCTCCGATAAGCCGCCGTTCGCGCTTTTCTTTTTTAACACTGAAAAAACGCGTGCGATACCGGCGTGAAGGGAACAATAAGCATTGCGCATTCTTCTCGGTGAGAATCACCGAGAGAGGGAGGTAGGAAGGAAAGACAATGAAAAAAAAAAACTGAACCAAAACAGGGATAAAGGGTGAAAAGCGTGTGGATAGCAGCGACCGTTTATGGATCTTTTCGCGACTGACTGAGTGCCCCAGTGTTATTTGCGGACCGCGCGATCCTCTATTTGCATTTCGCCGATAACGTGCTCTCGGTGTTGCCCCGATGATCCTCGGCCTCCCCCTCTCTCTCTCTCTCTCTCCCCCCCTTGTTTTCTCTTTCTCTCCCTCCTTCTCGCTCGCTCGTTCTGAGTCACTGACGTATCAGAGCTGTTACACGGATCGGGAAGAAAATGGTGTAGACGATAACCGTGTAACTGTGCGAGTACTGAACCGAGAGTGAAGGGTCTGTTGTGAAGAATCTGTATCAACCAAGTCAATAGCATCAACGCGAGAACAATATCTTTATTCTGTAACGGTGAGCAGGAGAAAAGATCACCCGGCGAATTCTGAACTTGAATTCCTCCCCAGCGATTCATCACACCGAGTGTACAACTACGCGGGAATCTATTGAAACGAATCCTCTTGCACTCCCCTCACTTTTATCGTCTACACCCACAGAAAAAATTTCCGGATCCAATGCTGTTACACTTGAATGTATCATAAATATAGGATCGATGTAGCGCCAATCATATTTATTATAGAGAAAGGAGTATTTTAATCTTAAGTGAGAAAAATGAAAAAATAAGAGAAGAGGCTCAGAGCCTGAACAAGGTTGTAATGTCCGATAAAATGTCCTGATCGCCTTGTGTCGAATATCGTGGTGTCAACTTCGTGCGTTGTAAGATGGGGGGACAATTTATTCTAAACGCACGAGTACATTTATATAAGTTACTCTTGTTTCAATATAGTAAGTCAATCTTTTTTAATTCGATAGAGGAGAATAAGAATTATTGATTTTATTTTGATATTGTCCTATTTTTATACTAAACGAGGTTGTGAGAAATGTAAATGCGCCAAGAATACTTTCGGTCTCAGTAACAGAAATCCTTTCTGAGGGTGTACACACCTCTCGCTGCATCTTCGCGTTCCTCTTTACGCTCGCGGGTAAACAAAGGCTGCGATTAAGATAATTGCGCTGTTTTCGGAAATATATCAATAAATCGTTCCTCGTCTCAACGAGGATGGCCGGCGGTAAAAACACGCGATTTTCGTCGAGGGGGGGGGAAGAGAAAATGTCCGGGGAAATTAGCAGGCAAACGGCGCCGCATTCCGCAGCGTTCTTGTAGCGGTTCCCGTGTATACGGTACGCGTCCCGACCAGCTACATTGTTCCTTCTCATTAATGACTTTAATTAGGCGCACCGCTACGTGAGTACTGTCTTATCGTTGGCACAGTACCCCCTTCCCTCCCAGCCGGCAATAGGAGTCTTTCAAGGATGGTATCCACCGAGGAACGTGGTGCACGCGATCGTCGCGTTCCAACAAAGCCGCATTCTTCCCCAATAACGTGATTCCGATCTTTGTTTACCTTTTACCTCACATTTACTCTACGCGGTCTCATTTTCTATGGACGAAAGATCGATGAGAAAGAAGGCGGGTATATGTTAAATGTCAATTCGTCGCTTGATTCGACATTATTGGAACCTGCGGATAAATAACGGTAGTCTTGGAAAATAAAACAAGGGGATTGCGAAATTAATTCTTACTTAACGACGGCGGTTACCTTATCAATTCCCGTTCCTTGTCCTCTCAAACTTAATTGCTTTAAGATTTAGGAAACGTTTAAAAACGATTCTCATAATCTCATCTGCGAATTTAATTTTACGCGGAATTTTCTTTTAACTGGTCCATTTTCTTATCTATCTCTCTTTTAATTTCTCTGTTTTCCGCAAAGTTTTCTGATTTACCTATTTTCTTCATCCAGTATTCGAACCTGTTCTACGCTTTACGAATAGACTATTCTTAGCTCGCTCGGCTAGCGTCAACGATCGAGCTTTGGATCAAAGCTCTAATAAAGGTCTAATAAAGAGTGGAGCGAAACCAGTCCCACGCTAAAAGAAAGAAGATAAAGTGCTCACTGCAACTATCAAAAGCTCTTTTTTTCTTTCTACGTCTCTTTTACGCGATCTCTGTGTTTTTTTTTTATCGCGACAACACGTATGAATTTTATCTAGGAAAAGGAGATAAGAGGGGAAACCCAAACGTTGACACAACGAGAGAGGCTTCGATTATCACCGCGCGCACGAGATGTAAATAAATGGATTTTAAATAATTGAAAGATAATTGTATGATTTTAAACTCTTTTGTCTATGCATATACAATATGTAAAAATTTTACTAGTTTTAAAAATTTGAGAAACAACAAAATCTTAAAGAATTAAAACATCTGCTAGTGTTCCAATTCTAGCATTTTCATGTTGATTTTTATAACACTTTTTAAATTTACGTAGAATTTCTTAGATTCTGGCAGTTATATTAAATTTTTTTTGTACAATTTTGTAGAATTATTTCCGACAGGGTTGTCTCGATATAATAAGTCAATCTTTTTTTAAGTCGATAGAGGAGAATAAGAGTTATTGATTTTATTTCGATATTGTCTTATTTTTATACTAAATGAGGTCGTGAGAAATATAAATGCGTCAAGAATATTTTTTTGTCTCGGCAACAGAAATCCTTTCTGAGGGCGTACTGTCATTTAATTGAGAGTCAGCCGCGCGAAGCATCATGTCAGTACCCTATGCATCGAGCGCATTAAACGCCCTCGTATTTACATGAGACTGGATAAAGTGTTTTCGTCCTGCTACTGATTGGGCAAATTTCGCTCTGTGCGCCGCACGCACGCACGCAAGCACGCACTGTACGATGTCGTCGGCATCGCAGATGATAACGAACGCGGGTAATTGTGTGCGAAGACTTTGGAATAACAGCGTGTCGCCACCGACCAGTAAATAAAGGATTATTGCTGGGGAGCAATTGAGAAAGCGCGAGTGAGTGAAAGAACGAGTACGGGGGAGAACGAGAAAAATAATCAGCCGGACCGCGCCCGATTACCCGTGACGAGACGCGCGGTCGCGTAGCTGGATCGTTATCTTTCTTTCCTTTCCTCTTTTTTCTCTTCCCCCTGCCCCCTACCCTTTGCCTCCCTTTTCTGCCTTTCTCCGCACTCGCAAACTGGCGGAGAGACACGTAACTTGCAGTTTGTAATTTCACCATGAAAACGCCCTTGCGCGTGGAGGATCTCGATACGCCAGTCGTTTCGAACGAAGAAAGATAGATCGTGGGACGTAATAATTTGCCCGCCGATTTCACGTCAAATCGTTAATCAGCTTTCTGCGCGAAGAGACCGAAGGGCTGTACAGCCGAACGGCGATCTCATTGTTTCGTCGTCTAGCTCCGTTTCTGCTCTTTCCCCTGACATAGGCTACGCCTGTCAATTGTACGAACGGGAGATGAATAATGCCGTGTGCACGCCGCGTGCCTCGTTAATGATACAGTTACGGCTATTATCCACTTTCGCGAGAGCGCCACTCAATCATAAACTTTATTGCTGAACGTTACTCGGCACTTTTTCCCCACGTGTGGACGGAATTGTATCTCGAGCACACAAGACCGATTAATTACACACTCTCGTCTCGCCCGTAACTATATTACGTTATAATAGATGTACGTAGCACGTATAGTTTCTACATATTATCTGTATTTTAATCTCGACTTTCCGCTTCTAACGGTTTAACGTCTATTTCCACCAATGCAGATTAACTTTAGTCTCGGTTTAACTTACTTTTAGTCTTATTCCAATTCTTAAATCGAGATTAAAGTTGACTTACTACACTGATAAGAAAAATATTACTTTACTCAAGAAAATTATTCATTAGGTGGCTCCTAATAGCTTATTAACTTAAATTGAAAAATAATAAACAGATTGAAACATGCATTTCTTTAATTTAAGTATTTATTAAATATCAGAGTAGATAATTTTTAATTTGTCTCACAAAATCTTTATTTAAATGTAGAAACTAAAATAACGAAAATAAATTTACTTAATGTAATACATAGATTTACTTGAAATTTAATATTTTTATTTAAATAGAATAAATCTTTACTTTAGTAAAAAAATCATTTTAAGTAAATCTATTTAAACATAGAAATCTCTTTAAGTTGCAAGTAATAAATAAATAGCAATAATCAAGCTTCTTAGTCGACATTAACCGGTCAGTGTTTTAATACAGAAAATTTATTGCGAAAAATATTACCTACAAATCTATTTACTTAGTTTAAAATAATTTTTTGTCAGTGTACATTGGTATAAGCCAAAATAAGAGGTTCAGGTTTAAGAGATACGATCATCGGTAATCTTCGAAAATATCGTCCTGCCGAGGACTCTGGAGAAAGTACACGGGTAGCGTGTCACGTGTGGAAAATTTTCCGACTTATGTTCCGTCTAGTTTCATCGAGCGCGGATATAGACGTAGCGATTCGAGGAAATGTTTACCGAAAGTGGAAATGACGAGCCTTCCTGCCCTGCTCGCGAAAGAAGTGCCAGAAGAAATGTAAATTCCAGACGCTCGCGGCATAAGTAATAGTAACGAAGAATATTATCTCATTAGTTGACCTATTTGTCGGACATACGATTATTTGCTTTCGTTCGCATAACCCACTGATAAGTGCCTTCCATACTTAATTCCGTTCGCACCGCGATTCAGGAATATCGCGTAATAGCAGACTCGAGAGCGAAATTATCCGCTCGGTGTCCCGAAATTAGCGCCAAGTGGATACAGAATCGCGTCGTCCGTTGTAATTTTTTTTTATCAAAAATGTTAACATTACTTTAACTTGGTAGTGGCAGTAACGAAGAATGACTCTCGCGAGTGATTTCTAGCGCCAATTAAGCATATTGTTAGACTTCTAGTTTTTTTTCTAACAAACGAGAGAGGGAGAGAGAGAGAGCGAGAGAGACCGTGTCCTCGCACTTAGATAGACACACGATAGAATTTTCTTTAATCGTGGGACAACACGGCATTTCGAGGAATTTTATGAGAGTTTTTTGAAATTTTTCCAGTAAAATCGAGGGGGAAACCGCTGACCAAAATTTTGTACACCAATGCCCACTGTTGTCCAGTGGGCATTACTTTATCTTATCTTATTTTATCTTACTTTATCTTTATAATACCCCAGCAAGGCCCAATGCTCAAACTAATGCCCAAAAATGCCTAGTAATGCCCAGTAATGCCGCAAATCTGTACATCACAATGCCCTCAGCGGTTTTCCCCTCGGGTAAAATGTATGGTCAAATTAAAAAAAACTTATAAAGTTTTCAAAAATGCCACGTTGTCCCGCGACCACATGATTTTCAGGATGAAGAGACTCTCCGTGCACTCTTATCCGTGAGTGACGGCTCAAGAGCACTGAGAAAATTGTATATCCATCGCGCTGTCGATCACGCGATTATGCGAATCTCAGCTCGCCGCTTCCGTATAACGTTCCCCGATTATGCGGCACACGCACTCGAGAAATCGCGGTTCCCGTTTCTCGCGATTACGACGCGCATTCACGGTACGGTTCACCCTTCTCGCCATAATCGCTGCGCGCGGACGTGAAGCAAATTCGCGCCGCAGCGCGGTGCCAGCGGCACTTAATATTTCGCAAATAAAATGATTGACCGCCGCCTCGAACTTGCCGCCGACTGTCTGTCGCAAATTAAACCAAGGGCCGCCCGGAAAAGAAGTCTCGAGCGCTGATAATGTACAGGATCTACACAGAACGTGCCGCGAGACGGCGAGTCAAGTCTACCAGGTTTACGAGATTTCAATCAACGTTTCTCCCGGAAGCCGCGCGAAGACCGTAGGCAGGAACGAGTCCGCGACGGATGTACGACGCGGTTGGGTCATGGTGTAAAGATACAAGGTGAAACATTTCGCATGTAACCAATTTTTGGGGCAAATTGTTCATTGGTTCTTCCTGCATTCAACCGCAATGATTTGCAGTTTGAAGGTTGAGCCAAGTTTCTGATTGGTCAAACTCGGTAGTTTGGGCCACTTCCGGCTGGTTGACACTGCACATCCACCGGATTGCTTCGCCTTGTATCTTTACGCCATGGGTTGGGTGAAAGGCGCGTGCAACGTGTTGTCAGCCATCGCGTCAGAGATGGATGCGCATTGTGCCACGATAACAGGAAAAGATTATCAGGCGGACAGCGCGTGGTTGTTATCCCGATTTACAAGAGGAATCTAACACCTCACTTTAGAATAACAAAGCATTTGTTATTCGGACATACGTATTGTGTGTCCGCCAAACTGTAGCCGGCGCAGAAAAAGCTTATACACATCTTTTAGCGACCTACGTCCTCTGCCGCTTCCCCGACGACCCGAGTCGAACTTTCGCTACTATTTTGACACTTTTAAGGATAATTTACATCTACTTAGCTGATCTATACACCTAGATCAGCTAAGATAGATCAGCAATAATATTTTTTTTACTCCTCCCTTGAATCTTTAATTCTACAAATTTACTTTAGCTCCTACTTAAAAGGACTTACTTTAATGCTAAATTGGCGAAAGTAGAAATTTCCGACACTATCAGTTTTAAACTAGGAGTAACTTTTGTACTTGCAGTTCGACCTCCTTTACTGTCTTAGGTCCCACTGTATGATAGAATTAAAGGTTCAACATAGACCTCAAATTTCGACTCGGGGAGTTTTACACCGCCTGTGTGCGGCGAGGCATTTTCGGGAGAATACATTTCGATGTATCTGATTGGAAAAAGAGACAGCGACGCGTTCTCCATTGTGTTAAACCAATGCTTTATCGCGAGTCTCTTCGCCAAGATAACTTAACTGAATAAGTACAAGCGGCTGACGCGATTAACAAGTCACCTGACATTGGATTCTTACGAACTCGAATCGGCGAGCAAGTTTTCGCGACGCCCTGCGAATTTTTTGGCTCGACTAGAGTGCGAGAACAAAAAATCGCCGTAATTTCGACGGCGCGTGTATAGGGAAAGAATGTATCTTACCTCCTGTCAGCTGTCAACTGTCAGTGTCACTGTCGTATTCCCGTTGTTACGCGGGTAAACATAGGGACATGTTGTTTACCGCAGCGTTCTCAGCACGCAAACTCGTCGAAAATACGGCGGCTTCGAGAACCCGTGTTTTTTTTCTCTCTCTCTCTCTCTCTCTTTCTCCGATTCCGCACAGGTTACTCGCGGGAGACCGGCGCGCGCTTCCGCGATCTTTCGGGATTTCCGGGGCCGCACCTCGCGCTGTAAATCGGCGGAAATCGAAATTGGCGCGACTGCCGCGCGATTACCATGCCGCGTGGGCTCCGGCGCGGCGAAAACTCGCCCTCGGTGGCTCCCGGTGGCTCGTTGGTACCGCGCGCCGTCCACAGTAAAGGCGATCAGCAAATCGCACGCATGTCCACGCGCCGCCGTCGCGCCGTTCACGCATGTGCGTGCGCGCGTGCATGCGTGCGTGCGTGCGTGCGTGTGTGCGTGCGCGGCGCCGAGGCACCAGGCTCTCCCCCGTGTCGCGAGTCGTGACGCGGACGGCGCGACTCTTATCCGCGCCGAATTCTTCTCACACTCTGCGTCTGGTCCGGTCCGGTCCGGTCTGGTCTGCTATACTCGCGCCGACTCCACGCGCAATCAGCGCGCGCGTTACCTCTCTCACGGCTGCTCGCGGCGGCGGCGGCGGCGGCGGCGGCGGACCCGGAAATCCGCGGAACGCCTCGCGTGCTCGTGCCACAGGTGGTAGCGGCCGATGCTCGCTTCCCCGCGATGGATGTACGTACATACATAAAAACAAGATAGCCGCGAGCACGCGGCCACATACCCGTTCGTCTTATAGGGTGTCTCGTAAAAAGCGGGATCGCGCCGCGCGGCCAGGAATGCGTTCTTTCTCGCCGATCGATCGATCGATCGATCGATCCGCTCGCGGTCTCCTCCTTCCCAAGTTCTCTTATCGGGCAGCTAATTGTCGGCTGCCGCGCGTTTTCAACGCATTCTTTGCATATTTCCAACGTTCCCCCTGCGTTTTCATTTCATTCATCTTCTTCTTTTAACCCAGGAAACTGGGCTTTTTTTAACGCACACAACTGACGTGAGTCGAACAATGTCGAAACGGCTAAGTGAAAAACACATGTGCGCATATTAAAGCATTTAGTTAACTTGACTGCAATTGTTCCAACTTAAACTAGTATAATTGATTTTTCTATGGAGACTGCATTTTAGTTAATTAACACATAACAAGACATTTTATTTAATATTAGTTGAAAGGTGTTGAAATCATAATTGCGGCCATTCAAAAATTATCACGAGAAATAGTTTCCTATAGTGGGTTTATGATGCTGGAGCTTAAAATGCGAACTTCATACAGAGCAACACATGTATTAAATGCCCGCACGTAGCATTTAAATGTAGGACTATAAATACGACATATTATTCTAATGCTATTCCCGCATTTACGCTAGAAAATCATTGAACCGATAAACATAAACTTGTGCATTAGTCACGTACGTGCAAAGTTTTTAGAATCAAACGCCTTGCTTGGCAAGTGTTAAATAGCTGCTACAATGTTATTGATAGAAATCTAACTCTATAGGTAATTGACATAACTCTATAACGACTCGCAATACGAGCCTTTTTAAATCGGATCCTAGATAGAAGTGTGTGGAGAGAAAGAGATAGAAAGAGAGAGAGAGAGAGAGAGAGAGAGAGAGAGAGAGAGAGAGAGAGAGAGAGAGAGTGTGTGTGTGTGTGTGTGTGTGTGTGTGTGTGTGTGTGTGTGTGTGTGTGTGTGTGTGTGTGTGTGTGTGTGTGTGAGTGTGTGTATGAAAGCAATTCTCGCATGAGCAATCTTAAAAAAAACAGAATGTATGAGTTTCATTCCAAAACATTTTGAATTAAAGTTAACAATTTTCCCAAAAAATCACAACTGTTTCCGACAATCCTGACGGGAGAACAAGGTGTTAAAAGGGATATCTTGAAAATAACTTACGGGCTTCAAGCGCATTATCATAGTCGTCGTCAAGGTCGACTCAACTCTCTGTCGGCACCGATAATCGTATTATCGCGCGCGCATTTCCATGGAAATTGACGAATTAAGAAAATTCAGGAATCGAGTGCGAGAAGCGATCGCTGATCTGTCCGTGCGGATCTACGACTACGATGGCGATGGTGGACGTATTGTGTACCAACTCGTTGGACAGCCACGACGGCACTGATCCCAAAAAGTTCCCCGGGAACCCTCGTGTTTTCCAAAAACTCCGAAAGCGTGACAGGGTTGGAGGAGGAAGAGGTCTGGCGGTAATGGAGGTGGAGGTAGAAACGGAGGTGGAAGAAGAGCGAGTGAAGGATGAAGAGGAGAAGGAGGACAGAGAGAGAGAGAGAGAGAGAAGGAAGAGGGAAGAGAGAGGGCCGCCACGGCCGGAGAGGGTTCTCGGTGGGACGCACTTGGGAGGGAGAGGGGAACAAGCCCGCGACCCGGACGTACATGTGAGAAGAGTAACGCGAGACGAAGGAGGAAGGGCACGGAGGCCGGGGGAGGAAGAGAGATGCGTGTGTGTCCGCCGAATGGAACTTTAATCGTGGTTAATCGCCGTATTGTTCGATCGGATTTATGAATGGTGGCGCGCCGAAAGGGCGGACCAGCGACGACTCGCGAGATTCATGAGAAACGGGACGAGATGGGGAGACGAAGCCCCCGCTTCGCCCTTCTCTCTCGCTCTTTCGTTCAGTCGGGGTCGGGGCCCACCGGGGCCCACCGGGGCCCACCGGTCCCCATCTTCGTCTCGCGACGTCTCCGGGGACAAACTCTCTTATCTGCTTGTCCTGTTTACATGCCCCGTCGTGCCCTGCTCGTCGTCGGTCCCGCGACCACGTCGCGACATGGTTGGCTGTCGCCGATGGTGGGGCCCCGTGGGATCCAGTGGAAACCCGTGTGCACGCGGTGGGGGTTCAGGATGACGGACGGCCCGGAACGGATCGCAGATGGCGTTGGAACGTTCCCCGCCGTGGAGGATGCGAGTCCGCTCCTGATCGGGGGAGACTGATTCTCGGCGTCCCGCCACCGCTACGGGATGCCGTAACTACAATCCTCGCCTTTGCCGTCCTCGTCATCTCGTCTTTTTCTCCGATAAAAATAGTCGTCGGGTGGCCATTTAAATTTTCTACCGTTAAACTTCCGCCATTTCTTCGAACCGCGAATCACACGGGAGCCTCATCCTCGAATTCTGCTATCTATGCCTCTGTGTCTTTTCGTGCCGTATATTTATCACTGAGAAAGAATTTCAGAAGCTGACCGCGCCTAATGTATGTCTTTTTCGCTCCGAGATCAAGGGGATTAATTACGGGGACGAAGAAATGACGAGCGGCAGCGCGTAAAAATCCCCATAGGGTCGAGAAGCTATCGCGCTGGTACAACATATTGTTGACCCCTGCATGTAATCAATTATCTGAGGGTATGCCGATTAGATAAATTGCTCGTGAGACTCATGAATAGAGAGATAACGTAACAGGAAGCGAAGCTGGACAGGGACGACTTTAGATCTATCGAGAGCTTAAATGAGATTCTCAATTTCTATCGCAGTCTTCTTCGTCGGACTCTCGTCCACAATCTCGACGTCTCGCTCGATCGAAATCTGCACGCGGGACCAGATGGTCCAGGTCAGTTTCTTCAACAAGTGGCGTCGCACTGTGCTCGTCGTGGTGCGTTTTGTACCAAGTTTCTTTTATAGAATAGATTGTATCGTGGAGATTGAGACGTTTACAGATTTGCAAATAATCCGCGAATGGATTTGTCAACCATGGAGAGCGAATATCAATAGTTTCGTGAGAAGCGCGGAGATCGTGAGCCACGTCTGAAGTAAAGCGATCGGCATCACACGCGTGCTTGAGTGAGAAGTCACGGATGGAGAAGCGCGCGAGACGGCATCTAATTTGCGCATCCAAATCGACCTCGTCGTCTCGCGGTGAAGTTGCGCGGTCATGCGTAACGGCCGTCAACCGGATCGAACAACCGGCGTCGCGCGCGACGAAGGGCGTAAACAACTCCGGCGTGGAGGACTAAGCAAGATCGGAAAGATCGAGCAAGACCTGAAAACCGGAGCGAGAGATTAGAGCAAACTGTCTTCCACGCCGAGCAGAAAATAGACCTGCAGCGGCTTATCTAGATGTTCTAAAAACTGGAAGTGGTCAGTAAACACTGGCGGCGGATAAATCCAGTAATTCGGGAAGGAAAGGAGACGTGCGTGAAAGCCTAAGACCGGGCCTCCGCATCCTTCGGGGAGTCGCAAAATGAATTTTATAATCAGCAGATTAATATTCATAGCGTAATTAACTTGGAACGGAATATAAAAATACACGGACGATAAGGGAAGCTTGTCCCACAAATACGTCGAAACCGGTCATTTTGGTCCCTATCTTCTTCCATTGCTCCGACAGCCGAGCGCTCTTATTGGGAAATGTAATTACGTCTACCGATTTCTCTCGGGAGAATCTACGGCTGTTCGGCGGCCGAAAGGACGATCGCCGGCCTTAAGACGAAGAAGACCTCTCCCCATTTAAGGGTTAGATATTTGTCCGTCGCCTCGTAATGGTGTGAGACCGCTGTCCGGAATGGAACGGAGTGGACGGCCGCATAGAACGGGCTAGACCGGGTCAGGGGGAAATGATGTGGCTCTATCGCGTACGTAAGAGGGCGTGAACACGTGGAATGAGACGTCGATTGGAACTCGTTTCTATTCGAATGGAATAAAACGAAGTAAAAGCGAGCGTCGAGACGGCCTAGGCCGACCCGCGGAAGATACGGTGTGATATACAAGGAAGTGAATGTGCACTTCGTGAATGGTGAGAAATACTGCAGAGCCGCTGGATGGACAAAGGTCCATCGCGTCCCGATATGACGCTAAAATCCCGGAGCTTCCCCGCTCTCCCGATCGCGACGTCGTTTCCTTCAAAGTGCCTTCGGACACCGAATTTTAAGACTTTCTTTTTGTAACTTATCCCTTCTTCGAGGCAACTCCCCGTTTCCATTATCAACATTACGCGCCAGCTGTATATCCATTTTAGTTGGCGCAATTTGATGATATCATTACTTTTGTAGAGATCCAATAAAAATTTATTTTTTTTCAACCAAATATATCCAAGTAATTACAATGTATACTTCTGGATTGGATGGCGCTGATACTTGGCGTCTTTTCCCATACAGCACAGAAAGTTAAAATAATGTTGCTGAAACGTTGCAATGGTGAAAGTTGAAGTATAAATATCTTTTCTAAGTTGAATTGAATTGATGCAACATTGCAATGTTGTAATGGAATGTTTCTGACATGTTGATTCAACATTTGTGTGCTGTATGGGTTTTTTGAATTTTTTTTAAAAAAGGTTATTTTTTTAAGGTGATTAACATTACGCGCCAGCTGTAATGTGTAGTTACCTTATTATCGAAGGTGCGTAATTGCGTAATTAACGTCAGGCGCCTAATTTAAATCGCCATAGACCTCATTTTCTACGAGCGTTCGCGAGTCGACGAGATCAAAGTC